GGAACACTTGGCATGGATACTCGCAGATGAGGCCCGGCAGGGAACACTGGGCGTGGCTGGTCGTGGTTGAGGTCCGGCAGGGAACACTGGGCGTGGGTGGTCGTGGTTGAGGTCCGGCAGAGAACACTGGGGATCGCGGGTCGCAGTTGAGCAAGGACGACGAGGACGACGAGGACGACGAGGACGACAAGGACGACAAGGATGACAAGGAGGACGAGGAGGACGAGGAGGAGAGGAGGAGGACGAGGCAGGAGGCAGGAGGCAGGAGGAGGCAACTGACATAAAATCTAACAACCCTCACCTGGCAGGTGGGGAAAAAAAATAAATGGGTAAATCCACTATTTCTATGGCCATGTTCAGTAGCTATGTAACAAATTACCAGAGGGTATCATATTCTTGCGTATAGACTGCATCTGGAGCACATCCGCAGTTTCTATCCCATGAAGTGATGCAATATATGCCCAATAAATCATTGGCCAAGCCATATTGGTGGTTATAATTGGTTATTAATATTCCTTGTATATCCATTAACTATATCTACCATAGACCATAATTAGGCCACTAATTTATATAGTCCTTGTATATCCCATGATCCCGTCATCCCCTTTGATTGATGGCCGAACTATTCAGGTGAACGTGAAATATTATAATTTACCCAGATTTATTATATATAATATATTTATTATATAAAATGTTAATTATGTATATATAATATTTATGATATATATATAATATATTGTACCATGATATCTCTCAATCCCCAATAAATCATAAGCCGATGCAGTGATATTCCCATCATATTCCCAGTGTATTGTGGATGTTCCGATGAATGTTCCAGTATATTCCCATTATATTCTCATTATATCCCCATTATATTCTCATTATATCCCCATTTTCCCAGTGAGCTTTCCATTAATCACCAATTAACCATAATAGTTCAATTGTTTCAAGTATTGTTCCCATAAAGTCCAAGTTATTGTTATTACTATTGTTATTATTTTTGCATATTACTGATTGCTATCATTATTGCATATTATTGAGATTCCCATTAATTACCAATCGATCATGTTTTTCCATGTTCCCTTCATATCTTATATATCCATTATATCCCCATTATATCCCCAATGTATTTATGGTTTCAACATTGTCCACATTTTTCCCATTGTCAATCTCATTTATTATATGAGTAACCGACAAAATTAGCGGAGTGGACTTGGGATGTTCAACTTACTGGTGCTTTTTACGCAGGGAATTTTCGGGAATGATCCACTGGCTAACTATCAATTTCATCATCCCAGCAACCCCCAGCAACCCATCCATTCCCTGCGTGCTACGCATCAGTAAGTCATTTTCACACATGCTTCACAACTGGCCGATCTGTGGCCTCCCACTTTGGCCATGTCAGCGAGTACAAATTATTTCTTCGCCGCTCATATACTTATTGTACATCCCCATTATAATCCCGCGATATCCCCCATGATATTTTAATGTTCAATTTATAATAATTATGTCATATTATTTCCAGCATGATTCATGGTATTCCCATTAGAATCCCACTATCTCCCTGTATTGACGATTTCCTCATTAAAACTGAGATGTTCCAAGCTATTAACACCATTCAAAACTAGGATCGTCCCATGCAAACACAATGTTTACCCGCTATATCATACTACATCACTATATCATAGCTATATCTATATCCATGATATGTCCATGATATTTCCATGATATTTCCATGATATTTCCATGATATTTCCATGATATGTCCATGATATTTCCATGATATTTCCATGATATTTCCATGATATTTCCATGATATTTCCATGATATTTCCATGATATTTCCATGATATTTCCATGATATTTCCATGATCTCCTCCTCCAAAATCATGAAAAAACCTCCATGGAAAACCAGGATTTTCCCCTGGGATTTCCCCTGAGATCCATGGGAAAAATCGGGATTTTCCCAGGTCTCCAAGATCGAGCGATGCCGACTCACCGCGCCTGGTGGACCCAGGGATTCAGGCGGCAAAAATCCATCGGATGGTTTTCGGATGGTTTTTTGCATGGAGGTTTTGATGATGGGACAATCCTATAATCTGCATGAAAAACCATCCTAAATCATGGGACAATCCTATAATCATGAAAAATCAGATGAATGGCAAAATCGTGGGACAATCCTATAATTGATTGCTTTTCATGGTGCTTTTAATCCTGGTTACTGATGAATGTTTCGGATTTATCAGAATGATTTTTACAGGATCACATGGAAGCACATAGTTTCCAAACTTTTTCTTTTGCTACATCAAGTCAAGTATATATATATGAAGGGTTGTGTGGATGCTAATTATAGATCTGAGAAATGTGTAAAGACCTGGAATCGACATCATTTGGCAAGCGTTGCCATAATTTCACGCAGCCCACAGTGGAGCCTTCCGCCCAAAAAAGCGCAAGCATGTTTTTAGGCTTTTCCCACATCAGACTAACCCATGTCCTGCCGAGAGATAGGGAAGTCTTCCAATCGCATGACTCATAGCTTCTAGTAGGTGACCAATCATCTGAAGCATTCATGGTACATGGGATTCTTTTCAGTGTTCCTGAAAGTAGCCTCAAACATGTCAACATAGCGCAGGCGAACTAAAATCCACTATTTCGTTCGACCATTTCCCAGGTGCTGGCAACCAATAGATACTGTAAGGGTCTTATGGGTTGATTGTTCTAATTTGTATGGGTTTGTTTGCGGTGATGTTTTATTCTCCGGAATGGGAAATGCACCATTTGGGAAATATATAGGGCAGATGTTGAACACTTCTGTGGGGGGTCCTTTGGCAAATCTAAGAAGTTATAATTAAGATGTGCGATGAACATGCCCTTTTTATTCGGATATATGATATGGAAGTTTGGAAAAAAAACATACATCAACTTCATGATTTGCCCAAATTACACGCCAATGTCCAAATCCTTAATCAAGCTCCTATGTATGTTCAATCTATATTCCAAGTGTTTTACACGTAAAGAATAACCAGTTGTCAGATCCAATGAATCATTTACATCCCAATGTACCTATTATTTAATCCCACTTAATTACATGTTTTTTTCATTCCCAGAGGATCCATGTATGGAATATTTACCTACATTGACCCCTAAAGTAATTTAAAATAATCCCAATGTAGGTAAATATTCCATACATGGATCCTTAGGGATTTTTCCACTGTGAATAATTTTCGGTTGATGAAACTCAGGGTCGCGGCTTGTATTGAATCCTCCATTTAGTTTGGGGATCTCCCAGCAGTTTGCCATGTGCATCCCACTTAGTAAGCGGTTTGTAAGCCATATAAAACCGTATATTTTGTAGGGATCTTACAAATATATATATATATAACATATATATAACTAACATATATATATATATGTAATTATATAAATACGCTTGGATATATAACATGAAAAACATATGGGGTGTTTTTCGCCCGTTTATTAAGTAGGATGCAGCCCCAGCGCCAGCGCCAGGTGCCGTCTGTCCGCCCAGCGCCGACACCACCCACAGGTCCACGTTTCACTGGGGGATTGAACTCCAACGTTTGGAGAAAAAAGACAAATGGTGGATTACCATAGGAAAACCATGGGAAAACCATAGGAAAATGGAGATTTACCCTCTGGGAATTTAACATAACTATGGAAATCACCATTTTTAATGGGAAAACTCACTATAAATGGCCATTTTCAATAGCTATGTTAAATTCCCAGAGGGTAGAACTCTATAGAAATCCTATATGTTTTCAGTTTGATATTTGATGTTCCGATATGTTCTGCACTCCAAGTTGTTGTTTTTTCTCCAAGATATTTGGGGAAAGAGATATGCCCCATGTGATCCATCGATGATGGATTTTCTACATCTATGTAAGCCTCGCTGATTTTGTTGATGTAAATGTTGGCAAATGATTTTCCAAAACAGTCCCAAAACACACGGTAGTAGCACGCATATATTTAGATATATATATACATAATATATATGTATATGTATATGTATATGTATATGTATATGTATATTATATTATATTATGTTATATTATATTATATTATATTATGTTATATTATATTATATTATATTATACTTTATTTTATTATATTATATTATATTATATATACACATAATATATATATACACACAGCGCACATACCCTCCTCCTAGGTCATCAAAGATGGTAATGGAGAATTGATGGTTTAGTTCCGGGACTTTTCAGCCATGTTTAGTTCCTATTCGATTGTCCATTCGATCCCCAATGAATCACCATGAATCACAATGAAACCCGAATGAAATCTCCATCATCCGCTTCGCATGCGCAGGTGACAGGTTCACGGTGGAATGTCGGATAGATGAAGAAGATGATCATGTCTATCCGCTTCCACTGTCGGAAGACAATCTGACGGTCCTTGAGCTCAGAATTCGAAAATCAGAGACTGTTTGTTAACGGGGTGGCCATGTGGTGCGGAGAACTTAAAGCTATTTTTTGTTGAACACATGTTATTAGTTAGTATTGCATTATCATTGTTACGGTATTATCGTTATTTGTCAGTACTCTTTATTTGTTGAATATTTTTAGTACTGACAAATAACGATAATTATATTATTAGTACAAATATTGTCTTTATTTATTGTTCATTGTTCTTAATTATTGTTATTGTTTTCTTGGACCTTGAAGGTTATCCACAGGACATCACAAGTGAAACACTCAGTCATTGGATATGGGTATCACTTTGGTACTAGGTCATAGCAGTTGTTTTATGATTTCAAATGTTTTGGGTACTTTATATATTTCCCATGAACTAGTTCAATACATCTACCAGACATCCTAGTTGTATTAGATGTAAACCATTTTCTTGGGAATATGTTGCGTGACCAATGGGCACAGCAGCCTCCAGCAATCTTTTCAGCATTTTTTCCATGGCTATGGAAAATAGCTGCACATGGCCCATAATTAATACATCAATATTAACCACTATTAACCACTATTAGCCACCATTATAATCACTATGGCCCATTAAATATACATATGGTAACCACTATTCGCTACCATTATACTCACTATAGTAAGTATAGATATATCTACCATAAACCATAGTTATTGGAGTTATAAACCAACTTAGCTATCTAGGGGGCCCCACTTGTATATATATATTATATATATACAATTATATATATATACATATAATCAGCAGATGGTAAATCCAGCACCGGTGAAATTGGTGAAATTCCACCGGCTCTACCTGGAGATGTTCTTGGAGCGGAAGGATTCGTCTCACGAAAATGACCGTGACCGCCGTAACGTAAACCGTTCATTAATCCATTTATGGATGTGTACACTGAATATCTATGCTAATATAGTACCATAGACACATCATCATCATCATCATCATCATAATCATAATCATAATAGTCATCAGCATCACCAAAACCATCACCATTACCATTACCATCATCAACTATTTATTCATATCCCTGAAGAACAAAAAACATGACTGGGTTTACCCAGCATACTAGTGATAGCATGCGATAATGCCCAATTAACGCAGTGGTAATCTATGAGTAATTGGGATTTTCTTGGCATATTATTACATCTATAACACAATGATTCATATGCATATTATTATTACATTTGTCATCATCATTCCCAACTATTTATATATATATATACACATCATATATACATATATGTATGTAACCATCCTGAAGTAGATCTTCCAATTTCGTTGAGGGTTGTTTGACAATTCCATATTGAATCTACTCCAGGATGACTATACGCTAAAAGAATCTAGATAGAAAAAAAACATCTACCACTATTTCAGTCGGAGTTTCCTTTTCGATCCTATTTGGGTTCCTTTTCGATCCTTTTTGGGTTGTGCCTGACACTAGCCTATCTGGATATATATATATAAATCCTCGCATAATCAAACATGGTTTGCTGTTCAATTGCTGAGTTATAGACCCAGCTATAAACCTCCATTTACTTCAGCTATTTCCCAGCTAGCCACATGTGTTTTTTCCACCGGATGGTTTTTTTTGCCACATTTCATTGTTGGTTCTACCCGGCACTGCGGCGCTGCCGTGCCAGGGAGTTTGTGGCTATTGTTGGGTCTACCCCATTATATCCCTGCTTAAAACCCATTATTGATCTGGGTAAATTATAACGACCTCACTGCGACCTCACTGGTAATCATGGTTAGTAAGGGAAATCATCCCCAAATGGCCTTAATTCAGGTTAGTGAAATATTATAATTTACCCAGATTATTGATGGTTATAACCACCATTCTTCCCAGTATATCCCATTACCTTCTGGTAATAAAAAACATAGCGATTTCTTCAAATAGCGCATTTATAATTTTATAGTTGATTTACCTCTTCAAAATGGTGAGTTTCTAGTTCGCTTAAACTGTGAGTTTACCACCTCGGGTATCTTCCCACAGACCTTCCCTCGTGGATCCGTTCTCGCGGCAGGGCATCCACATTCACCCGCAGGATGAAGAAATGGACGCGCAGGACAACCTTTTGGGAGTGGTGGGGGTCGATATCACCTATAGGACCTATGGTGATGACGGGGGGATGGTTTATGGCATTGTTTTACCCACATTAGTGGTTTAGTGTGGTTTAACCATCACAGATCGTGATTTCATATTTGTTAAAGTTATTACTATGGATTTCATATGGTTTACACCTAATTCCATGAACAAATTCCGCTATTATCCCCTCATTGTCAATCTCATTAAATCCCATAAAAATAGATGATTTCTATCTCAGTCATCACTTGAAGTGGCAAAAAAAAACACCTCCTTTTTATAGCGGATGATCTCATGAGTATCCCAGGAGAACCACCTTGGAGTTCACCGACACTTTTTTTCGTCGCTAGTGGCGAAACGAGTTATAACTAATTTAGTGCCTAGTAGTTGCTATTAAGGAATAGTTGCCAAACTTTAAGGACTCAGAAACTATCATAGAATTGGATGATGGGAAAATTTACAGGAAAGCCCTATATTTGATGGTAAAAACCATGGTTTCCTGTAGATTTTCCCTTAAACCAATCCATTGAAACTAGCTAGTTCTTGGGGATTATGAACTCACCCATTATGTCGCACTGGGAAGATCCTCGAAGTTTTTTGGAGTATTTGTCTTTCGTGGGCGAAGACGCATCCAAAATGCTTGGTTTAAAACATGTTTGATTTTCCACAAGATATGGGATAATCCTTCCTGGTTGGTGGTTTCAGACATTTGGATTATTTATCCATTTCATATATGGGATAATCCGTGATAATCCTTCCCATTGACGAAGTCATATTTTTCAAGATGTTTTTTTAACCACCAACCAGTCAAAAATGGTGGATTTAAAGTGATTTAAGCCATTGAACATGTTGAAGACCAGTGATTTTTGCCCATCAGGATGTAAGCAACGACAGAACATGCGTTTGTGTTAAAATGGTTCATACCCATAAAACCAATTTTCAGGATCCTAAAATGGATGTACTGTACCATATAATGCCATATTTTGTTGGGATATTCTGTTACATAGGCCTTATAGTCCTTATATATCGTAGGTACCTCCAATTTGGGTTCCTGTTGCATGGCCATTGAAAAAATGATGAAAAAATATAACCACTATAACCACTGGAGGGAATGGGGTACCCTATTTTTTTAGACAAGTTCATTAAGCACCCCATAACCATGGTTGGAACCTGTTGGAACCTTGCTTCCCTTCAGCTTAGTTTTTGTGAAATATGTTGTTGTTTTTGGGATCTGATATACCTTCTCTGGTTGGTGGTTTCAAACATGGCTTTTATTTTCCATCATATATGGGATAATCCTTCCCATTGACTTTCATATTTTTCAAGATGGTTAAAACCACCAACCAGTGATATACCTTCTGGTAATCAGACATGGCAATGACAAAAATTCCTCAGTCATTGCTAGATGACTTTCCCAAAAATAAAACATAATAAAACTGTCCATAGGGGATTTTCCAGCAAGCCATGGAGATGATTGCAGTAGAGTACTTAAAACTATTACATACTATTACAATTATTGTAACTAAAGTTATAAGTACTAGTTATAAGTACTCTATAGCAACTATTATAGTGATAAAGTAACTAGCTATATGATAATTATATATAACTTGTAACTATGATAAGTATGAAACTATAGTTCTTAGATGTGAAAACAATATAACTTTATAATGCTTTATATGTGTTCGATAGCATTTGTTTCTTTAAAGCATTTGTCCGCTCCGACAGGTGGGAAGATTTCCTCCCCCAGCAGGACTCCATCGACAGGCGCGTCCGGAATCGAAATCCATGGATTTTCCAGCAGAGTTGCGGATTTCAGAAGGGATGCTCATGTGGATATTTTTTTGTGGGATATGTTGTATTCACCAGCAAAAAAGTCACAAGTTGTACTTATATATATATATATCCTCTAGTAAACTAACATAACTATGGAAAATCACCATTTTTAATGGGCAAATCAACTGTAATTGCCATTTTCCAGTTCGCAAACTGTTAGTTTAGCAGAGGGTATATAGCCACTTCAAGTGATGACTGAGATAGAAATCATCTATTTTTATGGGATTTAATGAGATTGACAATGAGGGATTTAATCATCGATTTTTATGGGATAGAAATGATCGATTACTCCATATTTAGACCCATTAAAATAGTGAAGATTTACTCTTCCTATCTTTTTGGAGATCTCAACATATGCACTGCGACCGAGCCCTGGAATCATGGTTCATAAGGGATAATTCTCCAATATGTAACCTGCAAATTTCAGGTTAGTGAATAGCTATAAAAGTTACCCATATATATATATATGTATATATATATATACCGTTTATATGTATACATACATACATACATACATACATACATACATACGTACATACATACGTTACATACGTTACATACATACGTTACATACATACATACATACATACCATACCATACCATACCATACCATTACATTACACTACACTACATTACATTACATTACATTACATTACATACATTGCATTACATTACATTACATTACATTACATTACATACATTGCATACATTACATGCACATGGATTCATGTATTCCCCGTTACAGTACATCCTCTTTTTTCTGAAGTTCTTGTTCTCGCACCGAGGCTCCAGAAGTGCGGCCAGCCAACCTGGAGCCCTATTTCAGGCGGGGACTGTTGGTACCTTTCTTAGCTATAAAAAAAAATACCTAAAGGTTTCACAGTTAGTAAATATATAAGGACCTTACATATCTATAAATATATATATATAAAACCATATTTAAAGTTATAACAACAAAGTTTATCCCATCTAATTAAAACAAGTTACCTAGGTTAACCTTGGATGGGTAGAAACTAATCCTTTAGTCTTTTGGTATGGGATTATCTACGTTGATTGGCAATGGTACACATAGTGATTAAATAGTGACAAATAGTGATTAATAGATTACATGGTGGATTTTTTTTTGATGGTGATAAATAGTGATTTATATGCTGATTCAACTATTCTACTGATAGCTTCGATCGTTTCTTGGGGGAATTTCTAGAGTTTCTGAAACAGGTTCTTGCATTTGGTGATAAATAGTGATTAATAGCAGCGATTGAGAGTAGTGATTTATAGTAGTGATTAATAGTAGTGATCAATAGTATTGATTAATAGCAGTGATTGATAGCGGTTATTGATAGTAGTGATTAATAGTAGTGATTATAAAGTAGTGATTAATAGTATCGATGATGTACTATTGATTAATAGTCATTGTATTTGTGTGATTAATATAGTACAATTAAACATACTGATAGAACAGTGCTTATGTTCCCAATAGGAAATCCACTACTTGGGGAATCTCTAGTAACTAGCTTTTTTGGGGATCTTTAAACAACTTCAAGATAGTCAGTGATTTCTGTAAACACATAATTTTACTTTTGGGAATAAAGATTACTACTGTCAACCATAGTAATCCGATTAATAGATATGAATAGTAGTGATTTACAATTCTATTCATGTGGAACCCGATTGCCATCAACCATCTATCACCAGACATGTCTGGGGATCATGTTTAATCATGTCAAAGAGGAATACACCCAATAATAAACCTCTACTGGGGATTGTTTCTGGCTTTGGGTTAACCACATTACTCATTCCAATGTAGTTTCATGAAATGATGATTGTTAAATTAAAGCGTGTTCCCCACCCTTCCCCCCGTAAAAAACCTCCATTTGCACTCTATTTAAGCGGCATTCTGGGAACTTGGTTAAATCCCCATGACTAGCTCGCTCAGTACTTGTGGAACTTGGTCACCCAGAATCGTTTTAGATATTTATAGATGATAGTGCCAAAGTACAACCCAGTCAGATTAGTGGATTAGTTATGTATAGATTATACACATTTATAAATTACTTACTAGATAGCTCGCCCACTCTATAACCAAGATAGTTTAGTTCACTAGGTGAATTTTACGGTTTTATGGTAGATATATCATGATAGATCTAGAAGTCATACGTAGGTGTTCGAAAATTCTGAATTTCCATTGAATTTCCATGCTTTGTTGTAGATATATCAGACGTTACTTGGTGGCTCATCCCACTTAGTAAGTGGCTTAGTTCACCCCAATTATAAGTGGATTAACCCTACAAAAATCCCATGTAAATCACTGGGGTTATAACCCACTAAGTGGGATGAGCCACCAAGTATCATAGCAAACTCGGTTTCACAAACGTAAAAATCATAGAATTGGATGATGGGAAAATTTACAGGAAAGCCCTATATCTGATGGTAAAAACCATGGTTTCCTGTAAATTTTCCCTTAAACCAATCCAGTGAAAAAAAAAACGAAGATGTCACTGGCACCCCGACGGCTCGCTACGGAGGTCCAATGACCGGGGCTATGATGATGGGATCGATGTGGCCTAGTTGCATGTTTTGCAACTGCAAAGGTTGTGCCCTTCCCCAGTGATGTGAACGTTGGTTTATAAACCCATAGTAAGATATAGTAAGATATAGTAAGTATAGATAGATCATGATATATCTACCATTCAAACCATAGATATATCTACCATAAACCATAGATATATCTACCATAAACCCCAGAAAAACTACAGTTATATCTACCATAAACCATAGTGAAATTGAAGTTATGTGGCCCCCTTTGCTGTTCACGCGATGAATCGCTCACTGGGGCTTCCCACCGAACGTGGGAACCCAAAACGGCGATGTTTGGATACTGCAAGTGCAATGAAAACTGGTTGGTGGTTTGGAACATTGGTTTAGTATGGGATAATGATGGTTAATGATGATTAATGATGGTTAATAATGGTTACAGTAATAATCACTGGTTGGTGGTTTGGAACATGTGTTATTTTTCCATATATTGGGAATGTCATCATCCCAACTGACGAGCATATTTTTCAGAGGGGTAGGTCAACCACCAACCAGAAAATCACGTATGAATCAAGGGAAAATCATCTAGAAAATGCTAGAAATAAGGACTTGTTCATGGCATTTCATGCGGTTTGGTGCATTTTTTACGCTACCAAAACATCCGGCCAAGGGTTGATCGGAACATGTTCCAACCACTAATTGGGTCCCTCTTTTTTTGTTGGGGAACAAACATCGGGTCCCGATCCACGGGAGTTGCTACGTAGGCGATCTTTGCTGCGTGTGGTGGTGAGGCCTATATCATCACGGATGAGTTCTTGAAGGAGAATTTGCCACCCAGATGATGTGGGCTCCAGGGCGTTTGGGCCATTTTTTTCACCGGGCTCGTTTTAGCCTCAACGTTTACAAAAAAACTCTGGCAATAGCCCAAAATAGATGGTTGGTAATGGAAAATCCCATTAAAATGGATGATCATGTTTAATAACTATGGAACACGTTTACATAACGAACTGGAAAAATCCACCATTTTGAATGGGGAAATCAACTACTTCTATGGCAATTTTCACTAGCAAACTGTTAGTTTACCAGAGGGTATCTTTGGGAAAACTGTGAGTTTTTTAAATAAAGCATCAGCCGGAGATGTTTCGTGGTTTTGTGGGAGTCCCAATCCAACACTTGTAATGCAGGATGACGTTTGTTTGGAAATTTCAATAGGATCGGTGTCGGACATGTTGATGCTGTGTGTTGAGTTCCTTTACCTTCTGACATTTCTGACTTGTCGGTTTTTAGTTGTTTGTAAATGTAAAGTGTCCTGTGTCCAACTGACTACCAAGCAGTAGTCGAAGAAACATGAAACCTGCTCAAAATCTCACATGGATTTTCGTGACGGATGCACACGGTCCCCACATGTCCCCACTAGATCCCCATCAGATACCCTCTGGTGAACTAACATTTTGCTATGGAAAGATCCACCATTTTTCATGGGAAAATCCACTATTTCTATGGCCATTTTCCATAGCTTTTTGTATGTTCACCAGAGGGTATACTGAAATCCCCATGAAATCCCATTAGATCTACTTACTGAAATTCCCTTCTGAACTCCCCGATGATCCCAAGAGTCCCCCTAATAGCGTTCACGCCTAGGCCGCCCCTGCTGGAGAATGAGCTGGAGTTTTACATCCAGGACGAAGTCGACGAGCAAATGCGAAGATTAATATGGGTGTGTCTGAAAATGTCGTGTACCCCTTTTTACCCAATGGATAAATCATGTTTAATCACATAAGTTCTCCCAGAAATCCTGAATTTCTCTGAATTTCAACTTGTATATTCAATCATATGGGTGTGTCTGAAAATGTCGTGTACCCCTAAACCCAATGGTTTTGCTGATCATTATCCCGTTTTTAAATGGCTATTTCATTGGGAATATACCCTATTTTCAGACAAACCCATATGAAGATGATTGAAGATGTGATTTACATTGACTTACCAATTAATTTAATATTTACCATATGTTTATATATTTGTTTACCCATACGAAGCATGCGTGTTTTACGGTGAGTTGCTAAGATTGACCATCCATCTGGACAGCGCGGAGACTGTGATGATCCTTGAGATCTGATGTTTGGATGTGACGATCGTAAATGGCTAGTCTCAACAAAGATCAGGGAAGCAAAGACCAGCCCTAGGGTCTAGGGTCTAGATCATTAGTTCTTTAAGAACTGCTAAATGGATCAGTAGGGTCTAGAGTCTAGATCATTAGTTCTTTAAGAACTGCTAAATGGATCAGTAGGGTCTAGAGTCTAGATCATTAGTTCTCTAAGAACTGCTAAATGGATCAGTAGGGTCTAGAGTCTAGATCATTAATTCTTTAAGAACTGCTAAACAGTCAGAGTAACAGATGAATGGCCCAAAAGGATGCATGTGAGCAGATGAATGGGGATAAATGCCAGCCCTAAGGTTAGGAGAGACTTGAAACTACCTTAACGTTGGATGTTTTTGCTCTTGGTACTTTGTTCATTGGTTGCTATCTAGTAACCCCCAAAAAGATAGAAATGCAACATCCCACTAAGATAGTGACAACTAGTAATATATATATATATATAAACCTCATTATTAGGTGATCAATGACATTAAACATCATTTAAACCATATCCCATAGGATCCATGTATGGTAACATTTACAATTAATATACCCTTATGAAAATCTTACCAGCAAACTCTGAGGGTTGTTGGTTATTTATTTTTGTCATTTTTTTGTCATTTGGTTTTGCATTTTTTTGTCATTCCTGTTTTGTGGTGTCATTTTTTGTCATTTTTTTGTCATTTGTTAAGTCATTTTTTTGTCATTTGTTAAGTCATTTTTTTGTCATGTTCTTGTCATTTTTTTGTCGTTTTCTACTTTCTAGCATTGTTCATTTTCTTGTCGTTTTCTCATAAGGATCAGGCAAGCGGTGAAGGTGGCAAACCCGGTCTAGGAAATGCAAAAAAATGTAAAAAATGACTCCCGGTTTGGGAAATGCAAAAAAAATGACTCCCAGTCTGGGAAATGCAAAAAAAATGCAAAAAAAATGACTCCTAGTCTGGGAAATGCAAAAAAAATGCAAAAAAATGCAAAAAAAATGCGAAAAAAATGCAAAAAAAAAGCAAAGAAAATGCAAAAAAAATGCAAAAAAAATGACTCGCGTGCTGGTAAAGTTGCGTTTTTGGAGTTTCCAGGTCGGCCCCGCTACTCGGGCCTGAGCCGCCCCCCCGGGCCATTTCACCCCGGCCCCGCCCCCCCACCCGGTTTTTGAGCCGGCCCTGCACCCCGAGCCGGGAGACAACTCCTCGTCCAGGCATGCCCAAAAACGAATTCCCCAGGGCAAGCTCCCCTGCCCTATCCTTCTTCACCGCCGGCTGGCTTTCCAAGAGTTTCTCCACTTGTTCCTTGTATTTGGTGCTGCCACGAGATAACAAAAGGTCTGTCATGATAGTCATTCTTAAACAATTTGTTTTCTCCATTTTCCCGTTCCCAAAATGTCAATAAAATGACAATAAAATGACAAACAAATGACAAAAAAATGACAGAAATGACAAAGAAATGACAAAAAAATGACAAAAAAATGACAACACAAATCCAAAATGACAAACCCAAATGCAAAAAAAATGCAACAAAAATGCGAAAAAAATGGCAAAATAATTATTTGGAATTTCCAATGTTTGCAGGCCCAAGATTTTCCTAAATATACCCCAAATGTTAGTATATATACCATACATGGATCCTATGGGTATTAAACCATTGAATTTTACCTTGGCGGTTGCGTTGCTATCGCTTGCGCGTTCAACGCACATCAGGATTGCCGCAAGTACAGGTGCGGGGATTCTGCTCCTCGGACCTGGGGATGGGGGGGGGATCGGATTCGGCATGTCCGGTGCCAGGGGGCCAGGGGGGGCTATCCACCTGGTATGAGATTATTTTTAGCTACTGGAATAGATGGAATGGAATATGATATTTGTATAAGCTGAGTTTGAAGCATTTTTGATCAGCTGAGGTGCAGTTTCAGTACAAGATAGTACAAGATTGTGTGGGAAATTCATGGAAATTGAGTCTTATCCTCCACAAAACTTGGCGTTTGTTCGGGGCACGTTTTCTGCAGCCCAGAGGCGACATCCTCTAGCTTCCAGATGTCTTTTACTGCTTGATGAGTGGTTTTCAGGATATGTGTTCCACTGTCCGTCCCTTCTTGCGGGTGCAGTTATAAGTCAGCGGTTATATATAATAATAATTATATGATACATATATCATTATATATATATATGTATAAACGAATATATATATATACATCATTATATATCAACACATACCATAGTTATTGGGGTATCCCCACTTGTGCGGGAAAAAAAATGATCCAAATCTCACTTTACCCCAGCGAGGTGAGATCTGACCCCAAAACCGTGGGCAACTTTCGTTTCAGGCGCTGCGCTGGCGGAGAATCTCGGGGGGTTCAGGGCCGAAAGGACCAAAGGACCATGATCTAGTGACTTGGAAATGCCCAAACATATGACTTTGTTTTTTTTTAAGCCATGGTTTTGCCTTGGTATTTGGACCATGACTTTTTAATCAAGCCCCAAAATATGAAGAAAAATGGTTTGGACATCGATTCAGAGCTCAATGTTTGCCGTTTTTGTTGGAAGGAATTCCCAGCTGCTGATTCTTGCTGAGCTTTGAAGAGAGGGAGATACCAAGCGAGGCTTCCAAACTGGTTTCATAACCAAATGTATGGCCCATTGAACTACCATTTTGGCCGATTGGTGGTGCTTTTGTCTAGGGGCATGCAAAGAGCTTCTGTGATAGATCTATATATAACTATATATATATAGACACTGTATATATATATATATACATATAGAGCCACTGTATATGTATATAAATATATATATATAACATCTTGTTGTGTAGTTGAATTCCTCATTTGTTCCCTCCTTGGGCCCACTCAAATCCGGCCGGATAGACCCAGCTTTTTTTGGGACACCGCCGGAGCCATGGCAGGTTATTGATCTTCCCAGGCGGCACCCAATCCACGAATGGGGCGCAGGTGGGGCGGTGGTAGGTGAACTGGAGCCAAATGAGAAAATCTGAGATGTTTTTAGGGTATACCCTCTGGTAAACTAACAGAACTATGGAAAATCACCATAAGTATGATGTGGATATGACGGATATGACTCTCGGAGCAAACGAGGCTTTTTTTGGTGGTTTGGAACATGTGGATTATCTTTCCATTCAGTTGGGAATGTCATCATCCCAACTGACGAACTCATATTTTTTCAGAGGGGTAGGTCAACCACCAACCAGTAGTATATTCAGTTGGAACATGTTGGAACGATATTATCAGACTTTAGATATGGGTTAGATTTTATTCTGTACATCATTACATAAAATATTCTGTATACATTAGGTGGAACGATGTACTGAAATAGACATTATAGAGATGGAACGTTCATATGGAATGGCAAATCCATATGGAATGGCAAATCCATGTAACGTAAATCATTATTGACTAATAATTACATAAGATTAATGTTCAAAACAACTCATATTTTCATGGTTTATAAAGTTTACATCATCCATTTTATGGTAAACTTGGAAATGGTTTACCATTGTTTTACAAGTATTACTTACAATGAATCGGAATTGGAATTACGGAGTTAATTTTTATCCGACATTTGGGGTTGAATACGGGTCCAGTGAACATGAGTGAAATGATTAAATGATGAGTAAATGATTGATCACCAGTCGTGTGTGATTCTTGTTGTCAATCTGATGGCAAGATATAGATTAGAACTGCTGAACATGAACTTCTTCAGCGCTAGTTTCCAAGACTAGCCGTGAAGCTTAGTGGATGTTACTTTCAAAAAACAACACTGGCCTTGACTAAACAGATCCTAGGGTTTACCACCATTCATCCAACAAAAAACTGTTTCGTGGTTTGAAACATGAATTTTATGACTTTCCATTCAGTTGGGAATGTCATACTCACCCAACTGACGAAGTCATATTGTTCAGAGGGGTAGACTCAACCACCAACCAGATAACCATTAGATAATCATTAACCATTATTAACCATTAAATCTTCTTTAATAATGGATAATGATGATGATGATGGTGATGATATGTGGTGATGATGATGATGATGATGATGATGATGATTCATCCAAGCAACAAAGACGAAGAGCTTGACACCGATTCGTCAGGTTTCCGCCTTCGTGGAAGCTCATCCCTTGGATGGGCTAGATCCCAGGTCGGTGCAGCGACCGGACCGTTCACCGGAAACGGGGATGGGCCGCCTTTAAGGGAAAGAAAAAAATACGATGGAAACGGCAAGAAAAAATATAGGAACAGCTTCTAGATTTGTTTTTGGAAGATGTTTTCCAAATCCGTTCCCATCCTATTTTCATCTGGGAATCCACGTTAAAATGCCGCTGGAAAGAACACGGTGAATGACTAAGAACCTTAGTCGAGATCAACGGGGGAGATATCAATGGTTTTGCCCAATAGAGGGATAGGAAAAACATAGAAATACCCTCTGGTAAACTAACATAACTATGGACAATCACCATGTTTAATGGGAAAATCCACTATTTCTATGGTCATTTTCAATAGCTATGTTAAATTACCAAAGGGTATATAGAAATGAAATTGGAGAATTGGTATCTCATGGTGAGACTGAAGAGAGCCCTTTATCGTTTTTTTGCGTTGGATTGCCGCTGTCCTTATGTCATACCCTTCAGAGTCGAATCCTCCACAGCAGGAGACCATTGGAGATATGTTTGGTGGTGCCCCCAGTTCAAGTTGTAACCTATCATTGGATTGGGTTAAGGGAAAATCGAAGCCGGAAACCATGGTTTTTCCGTGTTTTTCCTATGAAATATGGGGTTTTCCTGCAAATTTTCCCTTAAACCAATCCAATGAATCCTATCATCATCAGAAACCTAGATTTAGATCTTCATCTTCACCCCTCACAGCGAACAGGCACCACTTGGCACGATTTTTTTTTTGCGCAGGTGGTGCTTCCATGGCGTGAAATATCAAATCACCTTGGTGAATTGGCTCAACTACAGCCAGAGCGTGACAAAGGCGGTTACTGCGGTTGACCAAGGGGTGACTGACTGGGATTGACTGGGCACCGTACGTGACGACTATGGATTGGCCAATGGATCATGTATTGACGTAAAGGACAATTATCTGGGTAAATTTCATCACGACCTCACTGTTCTCCCTCACTGGAAATCATGGTTAGTTTTTGGGGAATAATCCCCTTTTATGGCCGAACTATTCAGCTTAGTGAAATATTATAATTTACCCAGAATTATGAACTATGGCAACTATATGGATCTATATGGTATTTATGGTATTTTGAGGATTCCCATGATTTTCAGATATTTTCAGACATTTGGCTTGAGTTGATTGATATTCGCAGTGGACATTCGCAGTAGACTTATGGTATTTATGGATATTTATGGTATGGTCTGTGTAGATACTATGATGATTCATGTTGGGTTGGCCGAATGGAATCCTGTTCATATCAAACACCGCCGAGAAACCATGGTGGATGTAGGGGATAGACACTACATTTGGGACCATAGAAGGGGTGTGTTTTCTATTACCCTCTGGTAAATAAACATAGACCCTGAAAATCACCAATTGTTAATGGAAACTAATCTTCCAATTCCTATCTGGCAGGGTCTATGTTAATTTACCAGGGGGTAAATTTAGGTGAATTGGATTATTTTTAGTTATGTTAGTTTTCCATAGTTATTAAACATGGTGATCATCCATTTTAATGGGATTGTCCATTACAAACCATCTATTTTGGGGTATCTCCATTTATGGAACTCCCCATTTTTGGCGAATATCTGGAAGTCACCATCACCATCGTCCCGGCGCAGAATGACACGTGGTCCTTCTCTAGAGACGGAATCGATCGCGGGTGGCACGAGATGGTGGGGGTGAGCCCAGTGGCCATAGGTCTACAAGATGGTGTTTTCCTGCCGCTGGCGAAGTTGTTCGATTTCTCTGAGTTCTATGCAAGGTGGTGCCCCATAGTTAGCTAAGTTGGTTTATAACTCCAATAACTATGGTTTATGGTAGATATATCGAACTACTTACTATTGTTTATAAATCAACTTATAACTGGGGGGGCACAACCTTGTGGTTTATGGATGTTTATGGTAGATACCCTCTGGTAATGACTAACATAGCTATGGAAAATGGCCATGTTTAATGGGAAAACTCACTATAAATGGCCATTTTCAATAGCTATGTTAGTTTACCAGAGGGTATCCAACTAGTTCATTTTTAGTGAAACTCAACCAACAAACATTTCACTTGGGGGCACCACCTTGTACAGCCCGAGAGTTGGTTAAGAATCTGAAAGTTTGGGGCCCAGGGTCCCAGGGTCCCTCAAATTCTTATATTTTAATGCAGGCAACTTTCTACCACCAATAGGTCGAGGGTCGAGGATCCCTCAAATTCTTAGAGCATTCTTAGTTATGTATTGCATGCATCTGCGCTATTTGGAGCGAGCTTAAACGAGGTAACGAGGTGGAGTTGCAGATTTAACAAGGGGCATGAGAAAAAACAATTTCAGAGCCTGATTTGTTTTTTTGCAAAGCCGGGCATCAATGAGTTTCACAAGGGCAGCACCGAAAAAAACATGTTTTCAGGTCGGTGGTTGGTGGTTTGGAACATTTTTCATATATTGGGAATAGTAACCCCAACTGACGAACTCCATCATTTTTCAGAGGGGTAGGTATACCACCAACCAGATTATAGCGCCGGACAACTACTTAGAACATCGTTTTGGAATTTTTTCGGTGGGTACGCGCCCTCTACTTAGAACATTTTCGGCGAATAGGGGACGTATGTTCTAAGTGACTTAGAACATATGAGGATCCTCTACTTAGAACACGCCATCATATATACATGTAAATATATGTATATGTATACATACATACAACTTAACACTGCATATTTATATTATATATACAGGAGGTGTGATGTTGCGTCAATTGGGGCGGAGTCTTGGTGACCAAGAAGCACAACGCTGGAAAGGAGGTCATCCTCCATGGGGACTCTGGTGGGTGTTTGATTAATTGGGATGGGATTCATATTATACAGGTTTGGAAAGTTTTTATTATATGAATATATAGTGCCGGACAACTACAATATTCAAAATATATTATATATACACAGGATTTTCCAAAATGCACGTAGATAGCTGGTGGGATTCTTACTTAGAACATGGAGGAACCCCCAAAACCTCTGTGTATATATATATATAGCGATGTACATACGATTCGAACATCAGGTTTGGAAAGTTTTTATTATATGAATATATAGTGCCGGACAACTACAATATTCAAAATATATTATATATACACAGGATTTTCCAAAATGCACGTAGATAGCTGGTGGGATTCTTACTTAGAACATGGAGGAACCCCCAAAACCTCTGTATATATATATATATATAGCGATGTACATACGATTCGAACATCAGGTTTGGAAAGTTTTTATTATATGAATATATAGTGCCGGACAACTACAATATTCAAAATATATTATATATACACAGGATTTTCCAAAATGCACGTAGATAGCTGGTGGGATTCTTACTTAGAACATGGAGGAACCCCCAAAACCTCTATATATATAGCGATGTACATACGATTCGAACATCAGGTTTGGAAAGTTTTTATTATATGAATATATAGTGCCGGACAACTACAATATTCAAAATATATTATATATACACAGGATTTTCCAAAATGCACGTAGATAGCTGGTGGGATTCTTACTTAGAACATGGAGGAACCCCCAAAACCTCTGTGTATATATATATATATAGCGATGTACATACGATTCGAACATCAGGTTTGGACAAGTTTTTATTATATGAATATATAGTGCCGGACAACTACAATATTCAAAATATATTATATATACACAGGATTTTCCAAAATGCACGTAGATAGCTGGTGGGATTCTTACTTAGAACATGGAGGAACCCCCAAAACCTCTGTGTATATATATATAGCGATGTACATACGATTCGAACATCAGGTTTGGAAAGTTTTTATTATATGAATATATAGTGCCGGACAACTACAATATTCAAAATATATTATATATACACAGGATTTTCCAAAATGCACGTAGATAGCTGGTGGGATTCTTACTTAGAACATGGAGGAACCCCCAAAACCTCTGTGTATATATATAGCGATGTACATACGATTCGAACATCAGGTTTGGAAAGTTTTTATTATATGAATATATAGTGCCGGACAACCACAATATTCAAAATATATTATATATACACAGGATTTTCCAAAATGCACGTAGATAGCTGGTGGGCTTCTTACTTAGAACATGGAGGAACCCCCAAAACCTCTGTGTATATATATATATAGCGATGTACATACGATTCGAACATCAGGTTTGGAAAGTTTTTATGATATGAATATATAGTGCCGGACAACTACACTATTCAAAATATATTATATATACACAGGATTTTCCAAAATGCACGTAGATAGCTGGTGGAGTTACTTAGAACATGGAGGAACCCCCAAAACCTCTGTGTATATATATATATAGGTATGTACATACGATTCGAACATCAGGTTTGGAAAGTTTTTATTATATGAATATATAGTGCCGGACAACCACAATATTCAAAATATATTATATATACACAGGATTTTCCAAAATGCACGTAGATAGCTGGTGGGATTCTTACTTAGAACATGGAGGAACCCCAAAACCTCTGTGTATATATATATAGCGATGTACATACGATTCGAACATCAGGTTTGGAAAGTTTTTATTATATGAATATATAGTGCCGGACAACTACAATATTCAAAATATATTCTATATACACAGGATTTTCCAAAATGCACGTAGATAGCTGGTGGGATTCTTACTTAGAACATGGAGGAACCCCCAAAACCTCTGTATATATATATGCGATGTACTCCTACGATTCGAACATCAGGTTTGGAAGTTTTTAATTATATGAATATATAGTGCCGGACAACTACAATATTCAAAATATATTATATATACACAGGATTTTCCAAAATGCACGTAGATAGCTGGTGGGATTCTTACTTAGAACATGGAGGAACCCCCAAAAACCTCTGTGTATATATATATATAGCGATGTACATACGATTCGAACATCAGGTTTGGAAAGTTTTATTATATGAATATATAGTGCCGGACAACTACAATATTCAAAATATATTATATATACACAGGATTTTCCAAAATGCACGTAGATAGCTGGTGGGGATTCTTACTTGGAGAACATGGAGGAACCCCCAAAACCTCTGTGTATATATATATATATAGCGATGTACATACGATTCGAACATCAGGTTTGGAAAGTTTTTATTATATGAATATATAGTGCCGGACAACTACAATATTCAAAATATGTATATAATAGTATATATACACAGGATTTTCCAAAATGCACGTAGATAGCTGGTGGGATTCTTACTTCTAGAACATGGAGGAACCCCCAAAAACTCTGTGTATATACATACCTGCATATAGAGCGATGTACATACGATTCGAACATCAGGTTTGGAAAGTTTTTATTATATGAATATATAGTGCCGGACAACTACAATATTCAAAAAATATTATATATACACAGGATTTTCCAAAATGCACGTAGATAGCTGGTGGGATTCTTACTTAGAACATGGAGGAACCCCCAAAACCTCTGTGTATATATATATAGAGATGTACATACGATTCGAACATCAGGGTTGGAAAGTTTTTATTATATGAATATATAGTGCCGGACAAACTAACAATATTCAAAATTATTATATATACACAGGGTGATTTTCCAAAAATGCACGTATATAGCGTTTGGTGGGATTCTTACTTAGAACACGGAGGAACCCCCAAAACCTCTATATAGCGATGTACATACGATTCGAACATCAGGTTTGGAAAGTTTTTTATTATATGAATATATAGTGCCGGACAACTACAATATTCAAAATATATTATATATACACAGGATTTTCCCAAAATGCACGTAGATAGCTGGTGGGATTCTTACTTAGAACATGGAGGAACCCCCAAAACCTCTGTGTATATATATATATATAGCGATGTACATACGATTCGAACATCAGGTTTGGAAAGTTTTTATTATATGAATATATAGTGCCGGACAACTACAATATTCAAAATATAGTATATATACACAGGATTTTCCAAAATGCACGTAGATAGCTGGTGGGATTCTTACTTAGAACATGGAGGAACCCCCAAAACCTCTGTGTATATATATATAGCGATGTACATACGATTCGAACATCAGGTTTGGAAAGTTTTTATTATATGAATATATAGTGCCGGACAACTACAATATTCAAAATATATTATATATACACAGGATTTTCCAAAATGCACGTAGATAGCTGGTGGGATTCTTACTTAGAACATGGAGGAACCCCCAAAACCTCTGTATATATATATATATAGCGATGTACATACGATTCGAACATCAGGTTTGGAAAGTTTTTATTATATGAATATATAGTGCCGGACAACTACAATATTCAAAATATATTATATATACGCAGGATTTTCCAAAATGCACGTAGATAGCTGGTGGGATTCTTACTTGGAGAACATGGAGGAACCCCCAAAACCTCTGTGTATATATATATATAGCGATGTACATACGATTCGAACATCAGGTTTGGAAAGTTTTTATTATATGAATATATAGTGCCGGACAACTACAATATTCAAACTATATTATATATATACAGGATTTTCCAAAATGCACGGAGATAGATGGTGGGATTCTTACTTAGAACATGGAGGAACCCCCAAAACCTATGTGTAATATTATATATAGCGATGACATACGATTCGAACATCAGGTTTGGAAATTTTTATTATATGAATATATGCGATGTATTCTTATACCCCAAAAACCTGTGTATTTATATATATATATAGCGATGTACATACGATTCGAACATCAGGTTTGGAAAGTTTTTATTATATGAATATATAGTGCCGGACAACTACAATATTCAAAATATATTATATATACACAGGATTTTCCAAAATGCACGTAGATAGCTGGTGGGATTCTTACTTAGAACATGGAGGAACCCCCAAAACCTCTGTGTATATATATATAGCGATGTACATACGATTCGAACATCAGGTTTGGAAAGTTTTTATTATATGAATATATAGTGCCGGACAACTACAATATTCAAAATATATTATATATACACAGGATTTTCCAAAATGCACGTAGATAGCTGGTGGGATTCTTACTTAGAACATGGAGGAACCCCCAAAACCTCTGTGTATATATATAGCGATGTACATACGATTCGAACATCAGGTTTGGAAAGTTTTTATTATATGAATATATAGTGCCGGACAACTACAATATTCAAAATATATTATATATACACAGGATTTTCCAAAATGCACGTAGATAGCTGGTGGGATTCTTACTTAGAACATGGAGGAACCCCCAAAACCTCTGTGTATATATATATATAGCGATGTACATACGATTCGAACATCAGGTTTGGAAAGTTTTTATTATATGAATATATAGTGCCGGACAACTACAATATTCAAAATATATTATATATACACAGGATTTTCCAAAATGCACGTAGATAGCTGGTGGGATTCTTACTTAGAACATGGAGGAACCCCCAAAACCTCTGTGTATATATATATAGCGATGTACATACGATTCGAACATCAGGTTTGGAAAGTTTTTATTATATGAATATATAGTGCCGGACAACTACAATATTCAAAATATATTATATATACACAGGATTTTCCAAAATGCACGTAGATAGCTGGTGGGATTCTTACTTAGAACATGGAGGAACCCCCAAAACCTCTGTGTATATATATATATAGCGATGTACATACGATTCGAACATCAGGTTTGGAAAGTTTTTATTATATGAATATATAGTGCCGGACAACTACAATATTCAAAATATATTATATATACACAGGATTTTCCAAAATGCACGTAGATAGCTGGTGGGATTCTTACTTAGAACATGGAGGAACCCCCAAAACCTCTGTGTATATATATATATAGCGATGTACATACGATTCGAACATCAGGTTTGGAAAGTTTTTATTATATGAATATATAGTGCCGGACAACTACAATATTCAAAATATATTATATATACACAGGATTTTCCAAAATGCACGTAGATAGCTGGTGGGATTCTTACTTAGAACATGGAGGAACCCCCAAAACCTCTGTGTATATATATATATATAGCGATGTACATACGATTCGAACATCAGGTTTGGAAAGTTTTTATTATATGAATATATAGTGCCGGACAACTACAATATTCAAAATATATTATATATACACAGGATTTTCCAAAATGCACGTAGATAGCTGGTGGGATTCTTACTTAGAACATGGAGGAACCCCCAAAACCTCTGTGTATATATATATATAGCGATGTACATACGATTCGAACATCAGGTTTGGAAAGTTTTTATTATATGAATATATAGTGCCGGACAACTACAATATTCAAAATATATTATATATACACAGGATTTTCCAAAATGCACGTAGATAGCTGGGGGGATTCTTACTTAGAACACGGGGGAACCCCCAAAACCTCTACTTAGAACATATATGAACATATATGTTCTAAGTAGTGGTCCAGGATCTCTACTTAGAACACGTTTTGGAATTCCAAAACCAATGTTCTAAGTAGTTGTCCGGCGCTATATAGACAGCCCCGAAAAGATAGACATGGTTCAATTGATCACTGTTTTGGTAGGGATTCTACTTGTCTATCTTCTTGGGGATTGCGGATTACACCAGTTGCCGCTGTTTTTAAAATCCGGAGCCTTGGATATCCATGGGTAAACATAGGGAAAGAAGTGGAAAAACCATGAGGAATCCCGGAAAATGATCTACAGCTAGTGGGTTCTCCACATCTATGGCAATGTCTATAGGAGGATAGATTAGATAGTTTAGGGCTAACTAGTAGTTTGCTATGAAACATGGCTAGCTGGAAAATCACCGAACTAAATGGGCAGATGGCAAAACCATCGAGCTAGACGCTAGAATTTCCAGCAAACCGCAAACCGTGTTTGATCACAAGGGTACCAATCAGCTAAAACTTAAAGTGTTTCCCGCAGCCCATCCAAGATGCACGAGCTGCTTTCCGGGCCGCCGCCCCCATTGAGGTGCGAACGGCCGAGCTGACGCAAGACACCGGCTGGCCTGGAGTGCTCAGATGGCTCGACCAAAACGACTGATATGATGTATATATAATGTATCCATTATACATATTATAAAATGATTTAGTTATTGAAATATCTAATTATATAATTTCATGTATATATGTATATGTATATGTTACACATATATAATATATTTATATACATACATATATATACCTTGACCCTCACCACCCTTGAAATTCTTCGGGTGCCAACAAATAACCCGGTTCTCTAAGGGTCATCATTCAATACCCCGGTTGTTCAATAAAAAACCCGGTTATTCTACCTTTGGGGAATGATGCTATCATGTGCATCAGCTACGCCCAGGGCCTTCCTCTTCACGAGGCTGTTGGCCAATGGATCAAGTGGATCAATGAGGTGGAAGATAAGAATGATAAGGACTGTTGGGTTGTACTGTTAGAATTCCTTCCATTTTTTTGGTGGCAAACCCTCTTCTGAAAAAAAGATGAGTCACATGGCTCACCCACAATCAATTAAGCACATGCAGGCCATTCAACACAAACATCAGTTCAAATGAGCACTTACGGGGCGCTCATGGGCCACTGACCCAGCGCGCATGGCACGTCTTTTTTGTCCGGCTCCCTGGTTTGGGGATCCAATGCAGCAGCAAGATAGTTTTGGCCAGTCCTGCATGCAAGCAGCAAGCACAACAATCCGACATGGTTTTCCCTTTGAGCTGAATTGCCCAATCCTTCTGACATCACTGCAGCACATTTTGCTCAATTTGTGATTTCCTGCGTTTCCAAACTGGGGCTCATGGCGCAAGACTATGACCCCCAGCCAATGGATGATGGCGATGACTTCTCCCCAATGGTTGAGATTTGGGATTCTATCCAAACCATCAGGAATCGTTTCCGCAAAGGTGAACCTCTTGTGGCTGGTGATAACCCGGACATCAAATCCACAGTTACCAACAAAGCAGTCCTCATGCCAGTTTTGGAGTGGATGGCTGCTAGACCTGGGCACCCACTGCCACCGGTTGAGGAAATTCGCTCAGCTGTCAGAGCCATCTACATGCTAAACAAGGTGCAGACAAACCCTCCCCAAGTTTCTCATGATGGATGGTTGCTCCGTAAGTACTTGGGCTTCATCAAGATGAAAGTACGTAGGAGTGAAGTCTCAGTGGAATCTTGGACTATTCAGTGCATGTTGCTTACCATAGCTTATTGCTTATTAGATGAAACCATAAATCAAATGTAATCAGTCTAGCATCAAATTCAAACCTTCGCCCAGGACCCCGATTTCCAGGAAATGGTTCTGGTGTTGGCGCCGGAGCTGCAGGACTGGTCATAATCACCATGCATGTCTCATCACTAAGAATCACGCTGATGTATACTGGCTGAATCTGGCTGATATACTTTCCCCACTTATGCTTATAGGAAGTGGCTGATGAGATCAACGCCCGACGTGCGGCACGCCGCAGCTTTGTGGAGGACCGGAGTGATCCAATGTTTCAGCATCTTACCCTTGAAACTGATTGGCCAAATAACGACATCAAGAATTATCATTAATCAATGTACTACTACTAACTACTATTATACTGCATCTTGCAGGAGGAAGCCCCTGCTGGAGATGAAGACGCATATGATGATGAGCATGATCCTGAAGCTGGGCCATCTAGTCATGGTGATCATAATGGTGGTGATGAGGATGGGAATTCCAACCAAGAGGTTGCCAATCATGAGCCGATTACTACTCCTAGTGCTTCAAATGAAGTGCCCAGTTCAGAAGTTGTTCATGTCACTCCTGCTGCAGCCCCGCCAGCAGTGTCCTCTGAGCATCGAGCTACTGCTGCTTCGCCTGTGGAGCCTTCAAGTCCTGACTACTCCATGGTTGTGGAATCACAGTGGCGGGTGGAAGAGGGTGGTACCCACAATCAACCAGGTGGGGTTTGGTACATGGTTTTTATTTGGCATGTGATCAGCATATGATCATCATATCAATCAGGATTCCCATTATTTTTTTGGTAGGCAACGCCAAGAAGGGTGCTTTGAGATCCAGTTTGGAGAGCCGAAGGGAAGAGGTGCAACAACGACTTCTACAGTAGTACCCTCAGCTTATCCCATGTATCAGTGATCATATCATCATGTGATGTCAGAAAGTGGAAACCTATGCATGATTCTGATTGGTTTCTATATTCAAATGAGGTTGCGGCAGGAGAAGGCTGCATTGCATAGAGAACCTACAGTGGAACCTCCAACTGCAGCCCCGGCCTGTGCATCAACTCAGCCAGGCCTGGCTGTTTTTATGTTCTATCATTGATACGATTGAGCATGATGAGAATAGATTATCCTTCATTGTATCTACTACATCGTTACCCTTCATCACCTTCACATTCACCATCGTGAGCATACCTTCTTTGTACACTTGAACGGCATATTCATCTTTACCCTTCTTTATGTTAATGTTCATGATGATGTTGATGATGATGATGATGATGATGCAAATCATCATCACCGCCAACATCATCAAGTTAATCATATTTTTTCATCATCACGATCCCCACCCACGAACACTTTGAATGCCATTATAGTTCATATCATGGTGGCCTATGGTCTCCCTGAAGGTTCATACGAGATCCTGCCGACCCTCCCTTATGGAATGGAGACATCAGAGACTCTACCCATGGATGTGATGCAACTAGCATCCCCTCCTTTGACTCCTTCAAGGGGAAGTTGTTCAGATACACCCACGAGTGTTAAACGTTTGATGTATGCTAGAGGCAGGCTTCCGAAATCTGCTCAAAGTTCGCCAGATCAAGCTCATGATCCCATCCCGGAAGCGCCAGTGCCTCCAAGCGAAGAGCCAGCTGCCACGCTTGAGACACCTGCGCCGGAGACGCCAGCTGATATGGGTATGGGTGAGGAACAGGACAGGTAGGGAACTTCCAAGTTTGTTCATCTAATATATAATGGTGATTGATTTGATTATTATTCATATACTCCAGTGTCAAGAACCATGCAATGGTCAACGTACTAATCATTCTTGCTAACATTGGTCATGGGTTCGCAGGAAGAGCTTCTTGCAGCCCCTGATCATTCTGATCAAGATCATCATGATCTGGGCGGGACCCAGGCAGAAGGAGAGGAGGCAGAAGGAGAGGAGGCAGAAGGAGAGGAGGAACAGGTCCTTTTGAGGGAAGATCAAATGCGAGGAAGGCAAGGCAAGAAGGCCACTAGGGGTCAGAAGACCAAAGGTGGAAAGGGTAAGAAAAAGGTCAAGGGGAAAAGCACCAAACGCCGCAGCAAAGCTGGTCATCGACTTGCTGTGTTGAAAGCATCCCCGAAAAAACGATGTAAGACAGGTGATGATGGTGATGACACAGCGCCAGTCAAAAAGAGGGCACCAAAGAAGGCCACAGCTGAACCGCGTGGAACCCCTTCGCCAAAACCAAAGCCCAAAGGTAAGGCAAAGGCAAAGGCAAAGGCACAGGCAAAGGGAAATGGTGAGGTGGAGCAAAAGGCAAAGGTTCGTGTGCCAAAGGCAAAGGCTGCACCAAAGGCAAAGGTTGAGGCATCGGAAGCCGCAGCACCCAAGCGTCGCCGGCGCGAAACCAGGTCACAGCCACAGCCAGCGCTGGAGGCACGTGCTGACTTGTTCAACCAAGATACCCTGGATTCAATTCTGGAATTTGCCAGCCAGTTTGATCAACAGGCTTCGTTGGATGAAACAAAACGCAAGGTTAAGTTCTTGTTGGGCAACTCATGGTGCTGCAAGTTGAATATCTACTGGAGCCGGGCAGCATGTGGTGTCAAAGTCCTTAAAGAGTTCCAGAAAGATTCTACCAAGCCAAAGGATTTTGCATACTTCAAATTCCCAGACACTTACCCGGTGATTCTCTCTTTGGTGGTGGCAGTCCGTTGCGCTGAACTCCTGGTTACCTGGTGAACTGATTCAACATTTTATGTCTGATTATCTTATTCTGGGTTTGGGGTAACAACATGAGAGACCCATTCTATCAAGCAACTACTCTGTCAATCTTCCCTGGCCTTCGTTGCCGAGGCTTACCAGGGCGATGCCATGTTTGATGCCGATTCGTCCATCGATGTGGCCAAGGATCCTGGCGTAGGGCAGGAAATCGAGGTTTTGAAGTACCATGGGGTCATTGCCTTGGACACTCTCTCTGGTAACCCATCTACTGAGAGCTGAAGGTGAATGTGACCAATGGGGGGCACAGGATGGACTGTGCCAATTTGCACAGCTTGGCATGTCAGCAACCATATATGTTTTATAAAAGTTATACGTTGCTTACTTTTTCCCTGAACATATATGATCAATGTTTCTGAATGCAAGCTGTGCTTTTCATGGGGTTTCGTGACAGTAGGATTCGCATTAGCTAGCTGGTGGATAGAAGGTGCTTTGCACACAATCACAAGGCTCCAACAAGCACCTCCCTGCCAGCCCGCAGAAATGCTGGATTAGACCATGAGTGCTCGCAGCAATCTGAAAAAATGGTCCACCAGCATTGGTGCGTGCGTGCGTGCACCATGTTGCATGATTTTCTTCCAGGATCCTAATATGAAATTATTATTTATCGGTTTTAAACACCTTAAACATATTGGTTCAAGTGATTCAAGTATTGAACACTGATGTATTGACAATTTTTTGTCATCCCTGCCCCTTCCACCAACCTCCAAACGGATGATCTGATGATCTGCTTCCCAAGGCCATGGTCCTCGCACGGAGCGGTCTATGAGTGGGGAGCGCTGGAGGGTGCGGCTGAGCATCCAGAAGAAGAAAAGTTATTCTGGCATGTTTGATTGGTATTCATCAAGCGTTGGTATTGAAACTCTGTAAGCTGGTGCAATTCCAAGCAGCCATGAATGGTGTTAATGCTGCAGCTTTTTGTGGGATCAATTTCAGTACTGGGGGCATATATGCTAAGCATTGAGCCATGGTGGTGTCCCTAGATCTTTTGATTTGGCGCCTCAAAGCAATGGGTGCCCCGAAGGCTAGGTGGAATGTTTGCACAAAGCAT